TTTGTAAAATCCTTTCCCTTTACCTCGTGAGAAAAGACCCGTGGGGTGGAACGCAGTTCTGCAGGTAAAGATAAATGCACGTGCATGTCTTCTCGAATAAATTGTTATTTGTTTAGTCAAGAAGCGTTGTCATTTGAAGGAATGTGCTTTCACGTGAACACAGTGCACTTGGCCTACCTACTCCGCACTTACTTTCCTCCCCAACCCCATCAATCTGATTATATTTACACTTGCAAGGGGACCTAAAGTGGACCTTCAAATGAAGAAGAGGAGAGGGAATATGAAAGGCCACATGATTTCAATTTTAGCACTTTTGAAAGACGTTGTGACATTTAGTGACTGAGGATCATTCCTAAAAGATGAAGTCTTGAAGAAAGTTGAACAAAGAAAAACCTGTCAGTGAGGCTATAAGTATTAAAAAGCGGCGTTCGTCTGATACTTAAATTTACATATTCTACAGACTGAAATCTCAATTTGAGCGTTATAGGACCTACTAACCTAGAAATAGTTACCAGCTTACTAACAATGAGGCTGAAAGGCACCTGACCTAGGTGACATGCGTAAAGCCTTGCTTTAATCACCAACAACTATTCTTGGAGGGTGGACATTTGGAAGGTGACTGTTTTTGTGAACAGATATGGCAGTATCTCATCATCTCGGAGGTGGCTGCATCAGAACGTGGACTTCCCAATTTGCCGACGGGCTACCTAGGTCCTGCTGCTCGGTTCTATGAGCTCGGACTTCAAGTAGTCAGCCATCCCGACCCCTTCATCCGTGCGGAGGCAGGTGAGCTGCGCATCCAACTGGCCTATCAACCACAACGCCCGCTTAAGATGATGGCTCAGCTTATCTTTGCCTCAAATAATGTCACTGAGGACTACTCACAAATGGTTAGTAGCACATGTATTTTATTTCATGAATGTCAAATTATGAGTGCCAAGTAGTTTGCGTGATGTAGAAAGTTGAAACTGATAGCACATTGAGTTACCTCAGAGCTAAGTAAGAGACTGCTTTGCTTTGGATTATGGTTGCAAAAGTAACTAAACGGGACCACAGATGGTCGATTAGTAAAGGAATATTGGCATGCCTTCGTGACAAAGTAAGCACCGCGACATAGAGCAGCAAATGGCATTGACATCACATTGCTTTAAGATTACTCCTTGCTTATGGTTGCAGAAATTTCCTTGACGTGCTAGAAGACTGCACTTTTAATTGCGCCAGGAACCCAATTATTCATGCATCTGTCTCCTGTCAATTTTCACGTTTTAAAGTAGGCTCTCATCCTGCTTTAAGACTCTTCAAGGGAATTGATGTTTAAGCTTAAGAACGATGCAAGCAGACGATTAGAGGGATAGTGGCAACCTAACCGAATTAACGATTGGGAGCTATTTTGCGTTTACGTACCAGTTTCTTTTGACGACAAGCAAACGTCAACTTGATGACTACTTATCATTGAACCTTGTCTAAAATTATGCATAAAATTACTTACAGAGGAAGGTACGCTGTTCTACATCTATATTTTTTGAAGGTAATAGCAAATCTTCATCTCGCATGACTTGTCGAGTTGACGTGATGATGAGATCTGTTGGGAAGGTTTAAAGTTGTAGCCATGAAGCGGTCGTTAATAATGAGGCATTTCTAACGTCCGCATTTCTGCTAAAAGGACGCCTTATCTATTTGAATACACGGCAAATATTGTCAACAATCAGACCTTTGCAAGTTCCAATGCCATTGAATGTTCATAGAAGCTACTCAATATGTGAAGGCACAATTGGATGCCGGAGAGGCAATAAGCGAAACGTGGGAGAAGGCTGACAATACTGATACCTTTCTTCCTGTGTCTAATTCTGTCCACTATGGACGGAAATTGTCTCCACTATGGAGTGGAGACATAATTAAATGATATTTAAAATCTACTAAAAATTGAACTGATAGAGTTCATTAACATCCCCTTCGTTAGGTGCTGCAACAAATGCGCATGGGCCAGGTCTACTTTGTTGTGCGCATTCCTCGACTTGGCTTCTTCAAACTGCAAATATACGCCTTGCCCGAGGGCGATAGAGATGATTCTTTGCCAGGAGTGTACAACTATCTCATTGAGGCCAGCAAAGCCACCCACCGGCTGCGTGGACAACTTATGCCCTTCCCGCAACAGTTCGCGCATTGGCGCCGTAGCGGATGCTACCTAGACGCACCAACTGAAGGCATCCTCGGTCTCGATGCCAACGGCCGTCTAATGACGAATCCTCCAGCCGAAGTGGCCTTCTGCCTTGCCGTGCCAAGTGCGCATAGCGTTGCGGTGGTAGTGGACGATGACTGGACATATCTGGAGGCTCGTGGCGACCGTTGGGAAGGCATTGTGCCCATGCGAGCTCACTGGGGACGCCAATCGCGGCTCTCCGTTTGTGCCTCCTATTCTCAGCATGATGCAAACTTTAGCACCTTATTGGAGTACACGTTGGCGGGCTAAGCTGAAATTGAGCCCAATTCTCGATGCTATTTTTCTAAATGTGAGCAGGCCGCCTCACTTCTTGCACGCACCAACAGCCAGTCTCATGCGACCCCATACATGTATCCGCAGTATCACATACTCACACGTACACAGACATCTAGAAAAGCCTCTATCCTTCTGCAAATGCCTTCCTTCCTTGAAAACTCGCCTGCAGAAGTCAATTTACCGATATTATGCTGCTGTACTTAAATGTTCATCATGCCTTTTCGGATGCCGACATTTTGATTTTTTTCTTGACTTATCAGCAATGCAATCCATGTAAACCGAGGGTCCTCCGCTTTGGGAAACAAAGCTGATGGTGATGGATGAAGCATAGTATTCGTATCAATCCATTTCGGTATGAGTCTCAGTTAAGAAAAAGTTTGAGAAACGCTAAGATGAAAAAATTCGACGAAGGAGAGCAATGTCGATCGAAAGCGAATAATATAGTGCGTCATTATTCATGTTTGCATCCAAGATACGAGACACAAGAGATAAGGAGGAAATTCAGAGTTCCACAACGACTCCGTTACTAGTTAAGACTGCAACAGGGGAATGGAATGAAATTAACACGCATTAGCTTAAGTTTCATTTTTCTCCTGAGGTCCAGTAAAGAACGTATTCGATTCTAAGGATGCGGCATAGACTATCAACAACGGTAATTACATTGAGTTCTGGACGAAACGAAGAGACAATTTCCAGAAGGCGAGAACGAATATGTCGATCTGTCAGCTCTCTGATACACCAGAAATAAAATGTGATAATTGTGACTACCGAACTTGGTCATACATTCGGTCAAGAGTGGTCAAATTCCAAACTGAAGGATTGATCTCCTCCTTTAACTAAATTCTATGCTGAAATTAGTTAGGCTCGATAGAAAAAGTGTGATTTTTGGCTACAATGACTGGACTATCGAAAGTATGCATAACAGAAGTCGATGGCTCAGTAGCAGTAAAGGTACAACCAACTCACGAAACTCGCATTAAAAAGTGCAAAGTAATCACAAAAGACTAATAAATTATAGTTTATGAGTCTTCACCATCTCAATGAAGGCGTATTGGTTCATTGATAAACCGATGGATTAATCGTTTCCATGGGAGGAGTATCTTCATTACCTCCACATTCAGTCTCCTTTATTATGTCCGTCGGAACTTCCCTGGTTTGTGATGACAACGGCCTAGTTTCGGTGCGGTGAGGGTAAAGTCGCAACAGTTGCAAACAGAAAGCGAGACAGTCAAGGGCGAGTGTGACTGCAATGATAAAGAAAAGTCCAACAAACCAGATGTGTTGGTAGATAATCCACAAAAGTGGATTCAACACCGCCGATATAATCAGAGTTGCGGTGTACCAGCGCAAACCATTGGTCTCCAAAACTAGTCGTCCGGAAAAAGTAGGGAAATTCTAGAAAAAATATAAAACAGTCTACTTATCTCATCCAAAATGGGAGCAAACACTGAGAGCGCAACCTGATAAAAAATCATGCCGGCCGGCTTTGCCCTACTCAAGCACGGTGAAAGCAACCGGGATAGAATAGTTGTGTACATTTCTCAAAACTATTAAGTGACTAAAAACCTTGAAGCTAAAAGGATGAATTAAGAAAAAATGCCAGTAAAAATGAAGCTCATACCAGATTATCAAGATAATTGTTGGAAAAAACAACGCGAAGCCTCTGTTGTTTTATGCAAAAATTGAAGAGGTAAAGTGGAGCATAAACAATAGTGTCCATGATATCAATCAACCATGGTCGGTATATTGGGAGAACCTGGAAAAAGTGAACAGAAATTCATTAAAGCGAGATATAAAGCAATTTTAACGTTACCAAATATCTCCTTGACCGTTTAGACTCACAGTAGTTGAGAGGGTGATCGAGTGATTTTTATCCAATGGGTACAAATACAGTCGTAGAGAAGACATGTCTACAGAGAAAAGAAACGAAGCATAGTCTACTAATCGAGAGTTATTGTGTAATGTTTTGGTTTGATGGCTGCCTGTATGAATAGCGGCCACTTTAGTGACCGTGGCCTTGATTCTCTCCTTTCTGTCTGAATATAGTATTCAGCCATGACAAAGACTTCTACTACCAAACAGGAAATCTCGGGACGGGGAACTAACAACCCGACTATTTCACGACTTCAATATCTTTTCCTGCCACGTGTGACAAAATTCTACGGTGCGAATGAAGTGCATATATACACAATTAAAGGATTGGGAATGTTTGACATCCGCCCCGTCACTGTGTTTTGCTGAGAAGCTATTAAAAAATTAAGTGACATCCCCGCAAACAATCTGAAAGTCCCTTCTCGGAGTTTCCCCAGCCGCATCCACGTACAGATGTCAGAGATTACATTAAACTAATTCCCTTCCATGCAGGACCGTGTTCGACTACATCTCCCTGTTACGCATTCTGCCTTGGACGAGAGATTCAATGTCCAGTTCTTAAGGAGTTGATGGTCAACAGAAAATGCCGCCTCTGATCTCTGTTTTCAGGCCCTACGTGAATTCAGATACAGTTGAAGCCAGTGAGAGGGTCGAGTACACTCCTCAATCTCATAGGTAGGTGTATTCTTGCAGTACCCGGACCTTCGGACCGAGCCAGTAACATCGCTTCTAGCCTTTCTGTCTCCTGCTCTAGATTTGACCAATAATTTGTAAAGAACTGCTTCATCACGTATGAGACAACACTATTTATGCATCACAGAGGGAGTGCTCGAAAAGATGAGTTAGAACGAGATAATCTCAACTTACTTAATTGCAAAGAAACTAGTGTAACAAGCAATAACTTTGGATGACTCGCAAACAGATTGTCGACTTAGAATATTGAAATTAAAATGTACTTACGAGATACGTACCTACATTAAGATTTTGAGGAGAATCTGGTATAGAAATGAGAAATTCGATTCTGTAGTTCTGACCAGGAGTAAAGAACTGAAGGAAGGAAAGTAACGTAGCTAGGCTGAGACGTGGTGCATAATAAACATGTCCGAATTAATGCCAACTTTACCTAGAAACTGCTTTACAAAAAATCATTTTAGAAAATACATTAAGCTCAGCCTACATTCTAGTGAATGGATACAACTGAATCTCCACTTTAGAGAAAATAGCTCCTAACGGTTAAGAGCAACGAAGAGGAATATACCGATGAGTCAAACTCAGAAAGGGAGAATTCGTCTGTGGCAAATATACGTCCATCATTGCCAGACGCCCTAAATAGAGATTATTATAAGGAAATAAATTTACACAAAGCTAAGATGGACCTCCCGCAAACTGCTTAAATTAGGGATATACAAATGGCAGATGATGCGGAACGCGAAGAAGGCACAGAGCACAAAGATAGCTTGAAACACAACGAAAGTACTCAACTTCCTCATCGCGTTGAACGACATTGTTTGCTCACTCACTAAAATGAAGAACAACCACTTTATAAATTCGGCATGGAAAAGGCACAAGGGCAAGCAGTGTAACGGGAGCAGTGCGTGCTGGGTTCACCTACATTCGATGAGGCTATTGTTCAACGAGGAAGGACACATGAACTGGAAATCAAATGTTTTTGACATCTAGCTGTCATATGTCAGGTACTTCGAGAGCATTGTAGCAGTGCGTAATGTCTTGGTATCAATTCACGTGCAGGCTGATAAATACACACATCCTTTAGCAGCAAAGCCGAACAACACCTCTAAAGGACCCTCAAAACCATAGAGTAATAGTATTTGTCGTAAAGGTGGAACTACATTTAATAGTTATGGAATTGCACATAAAGCTCGTTATCAATACCACGGCTAAGAGGCCGTGGAGTAAACCGTTAAAATAGTACCCACGAGCCTCAAAAATCAAAACTATCAACAGGTTAAACTTCTCACCTTCAGACATTCGGAATCAGTAATATGAGGCCATACAGACGGTCTGACAATCAAAGCTCAATCTAAACCGAATAAAACCAGTAATTATCCACAAATTAAATCCGCAAGAGGCTAACACAAATCGCAAAGATGTACGGATTAAGTGAATTCACTAATGCAGCAGACGCACAACTCAAGAAGGCTGCTACTACAACCAAACTCGGTCAACATACCACCCGTTAAGAACGGTATATTCGCCGTTTTAAAGGACCGGCATAAACAAAACCCTAGTCACAGTATTGGGACAGTGATAGACTGAGGCGAACTCAGATGGATATCCCAAAGTAGAAGAAACCTATACTTAAAAAGAAAGAAATGGAACGTTACCTGAACGTTATTTTATTACCGGAACGTTATTTATTAGAAGTAGCTAGAGCTGAAGACTTCTAAAGACAAAATCCAAAGTTTCGATAAATGCATGCGCTAGCTAGGAAAAGATAATCCATAGAGCTGACATCACCTAGTGACCACCGCGACCATCTAAATAAACGTAGTCAAATTCGTTCGCCCGAAGTAGAAAAGTTTAACGTAGTTCTCTTCTCAATTTGAGCAATACCACAAGCTAACCTGTTGATACACATTCCGCCTTAAACCCCACACTTTAATCAGTGCTAAAAGGTAACCAGGAGCCAAATGTGCGATGCTCAAATTCTGATGCCACTGAGACAGTTGTCTAATAGCTTACTATTTATTGTGACACTTCGTCTTATAGTTACTTAGGTGCTAAGTTTACCCGTGTATGAACCCCGGTGATCATAAATGGTAGTTATATCAAGAGTTCGAACCGCTAAAATTAGATCAACCACAACAGAGTCGCGGTTATTAAAATGACCCGAGGGCCAACTCGTCCGACCACTGTAAAACCTCCATTGGAGCAACAGAAATCAGAACTATTAGTCAAAATTAATGCACTATAAAAATTACACCTGAAATTTCAACAATGAAGATATTTCCAAACGGCAACAAACAGGCAAATCAAATAGAAGAGGTGCATATGCACTGATATTTTTCGACCATTCGATTATTAGCTTTGATTACGGTGTCTGTAGGCACATCAACCTCCGGCTTCATACGATTGGGCGA